TTCGGCTGGTGGGCCGTGTCCGAGGAGCCCTTCTCCTTTTATGGGGACATCATCGCTTTCCCTTTGCAGGATTACGGTGGGATCATGGCAGGGCTGGGCTCCGATCCCTGGTGGAAGAAAACACTTTACTTGACCGGGGGAGCTTTGCTGGCCGCAGCTGCGTATCTGCTCCACGAACTCCTGGTCATTAGGTGAGCGGGAGAGGGGGCCCGCGCAGGGGCGCCGGAGGGGGCAGCTGGCCAGCGCAGGGCTGGCGCGAGGGGGGACCCGTGCCACCCCCTGGGTCACGACGCCCAATGCCCAGTGTCCTGTCCTTACCTTTCCCCAGAGGCAATCTGTGGTCACCTGGCAGTGAGGGGCAGCTTAGAGTTGACAGAATTAAGCTGGTACTGCGAGGGGAAAACATTAGCCTCCTAATCTTTTCGTGCTGAAAGCAAGAAGTCTCTGGGCTGTTGTGGGGCAAAATAGTCTATTATGAAACGCCCTTAGGGATATCTTAAGTGCAGTATGTTTGCAACAATAGAATTAGGCCCTGTAGAAATACTAAGTTACACTTTTATGAAATGCCTTATTTGTTTATAGGTAACAATGCTGGAATATTGACGCTAACCTTATCTTTTACTTAAAGGTTAGTTCTTCACTGTCCCTCCCCAAAGGTTAACATCATCAAAAGGCTGAAATTGCAAATGCTCCAGAGACCTCTGGGTCCCCGTTGAAGATGCATGGCCAAGTGTAGTGGCGTGCAGTTTTGATGCAGCTTTAACCTGGTTATCTGCTACTCTGCTATTGAAAGTTAATCTTCAGGTTGAAATGCCATTGTTGTGTGAGCAGTAGGAGATCCTAGGACAGGACGAGCACATGGGCGTGTTCGACAAGAACGCGGGTGTCACCCGGGCCCGTAAACAGTTGCATCGGCTGCCTGCCGCAGGACTGACTTGGAAATACCAGAAAATGGAGGCCCCTGATGTTGGTACATCCAGCCGGACACAAGATGTTTGAGTAGGGTAATACCATAGGTTACTGAGATGGTTGTTTGGCTCATTGATACATTAATTTACCATTAAAATTTCCATGCGTTTGAGCCCTCTGTCAGGAGATGACCAGAAGGAAGCAGTTATCAATAGCTTAGAATGTCCCTCATGGCCGGTATTTTTTAAATAGGGCGAAATGCCTTTTTCCAGTGGGGAATCCTACGCAATAGGTTGTAAACAAAGACAGTGATAGGTGACCTTTCATAGGCTTGCAGGGATTCCAGGAGGACATTGTGACAGGCTAACTTAGGTATTGTGAATATCGTGAGAGGGTGGGAAATCATTTAGGTATGGGGAAATGTATTGGCTTTCATATTATTTAGCCATAATTGAGAAGTTTTATTTTGGGCTTATTATGCATTGAATGCTCTTACTTAGCCCAGTGCCTTGAATCTAGTTGAACCAAATAAAACATTTTAAAGTGAAATGATCTCTCTAGATCATTTTGTTTTTGCTACTTTTAGAACTCTATTTCAAGTTAGGTTTCAAGCTACATGAAAAACTGACACATTTGTGCTGTAATTTAAACGGTAACCCTGTTGTTTCTCAACTATATTTGAATCCAAAGCCTTTTGGGGATCCTAAACCATGTGGCTTCTCACCAGTCATCCACTTTGTGGAGGTAGTGAAGGCATGGCTTCACAGGACTGTCTAAACCTGGCTTAAATGACCTTGCAGAAATAGCAAGGAGCTCAGAGCTCACCCTGGGAGCAGGCCACGCCCTGGTAGGTGTGGTCCCTGGTCGCTGACTGCTCTGCCCACAGATGTGCCCTTCTCCACTTAGGGGACTTCTTGGATACTTATTTAGATTTTTAATCCTTGGTTTATTCACTTTTGTTTCTTGACAAATGTTTAAGTTGAGTTGGAAAACCCTGTTATAATGCAGATAATAAAAATGGCTGCCCATTTTTGAGCCCTTAGTAGGGGCTCTGGGAGGAAATGCTTGACTTGCCGATTGCCTTTATCCCTTACAACTAGCATTGGATGCTTGATCCCCTCTTCATAGGTAAGGAAATTGTGGCTGAGAGAGGTTAAGCAACTTGCCCAAGATCACACAGTAAGAGTAGTAGGATCCAGATTCAAATATGAGAATGTGTGTTGGCTGAGCCTGTACTTTTTACTACTGCCTCCTAGAAAGTACCAATTCTGAAATAGGTTTTGATGGGGGAGAAGAAGAGAAATATAGAGAATTGGGGCATTGCTCAGGGAAGACAGGCCTATGGCGGGGACCTGAGTTTTCAACAGCCTCTAGGGGCACAAAGGGATAGAGGGAAAAGACTGAGAAAGGTGAGGGACTGAGAGTCAGAAATTACATGATAGACACTTCCACTTAAGGTGACATCTCAGTTTTAGTTGTCTCTGTAGTTTAGGCAAAACAGAACAATCCAAAATATGTAGGATGGACAATACACTTCGAAATGGCTACACTATCTGAGTTCACTGGCAGTTGTGAAGTCTTGACCACTCTACTTGGATTTGCTGCTGCATAGGTTTCACCTTAATCTATGGCTATGTTTCCGGGGTGGAAAGTAAAGTTGATGGGTGAGAATTATTTAGAAAGTTTCATTAATGATATAATCAAAGTAGGTACTTTGGATGTTATCCATGTTTTCCCCACCACAATATTTTTAAACAAATATAGTCCCAACCCTCGACTTTTTTCTCCTTGAGTGGAGATACCCTAGTAGTTATCTTAAATTCAGTCCTGCATTTGGAAATGTATTGTTTGTAAATTGAATGACTAAATAATGTCTTTGTTAGCGGTAGCTCATTTGCACTTTGTCCTAGAAAACTTAGGAAATCGGAGCAGCCCATGGATCATCTGGTCTCCATAAACTAACATCTCTTCAGCTGTACATAGAGGTATGGTCACCTGTGATATCTACCGTGGGAGTAGGAGCTAGCCTTGCTGCTCTACAGGTGTTCTCTTGTACAACCCTCATTATAAGGACACTTTGTAAAATACAGCTGTGCAGGAAACAGGTCACCTGCTCCTCTGATCCTAAGTTAGAGAGAGGTGCCTGATGTTTGGAGGGAGGGCTCCAGGGACAGAGTGGGTTCAAATTCACTGTGCCTTTAATTAACCATGTGACTTTGGGTCTGAGAGGCAGCTCCTTGGTTATGTGGTTTTGGTTTTCTCATCTGTAAAAGGGGGGTGATAATAGTAGCCTCCCTCATAGAGTTGGTTAAATTAATTAATACATATGAAATGCTTAGCACACAGTTTGACATATAGTGAGCATTCAATGAAAGTTGGACATCATTAGTTATTACAGACTTCCATCAGAAAGTTCCAGGCCTGAGTGGTCTGAGTCAAGCTGGCTGTTAGTAAAATTAATTTAGGATTTGTCCATTTTGGTGTAGTTGAAGTGCTTAAAAGCTTGGAAACTGAAGTTAACAACTTGACCTCAAATAGATATTCCTTGGGCAAGTTATTTGCCTCTTTGAGCTTTAATTTCCTTATCTACTGTAAAATATAAGTATAGTGTAAGATACTAAATTTAAACTATATCAATATCCACCCCAGAGTGATACTGAAATAATTTAATATGCATTATGTATACAAGGTCATTGGTATATCTGCTTATCACATAGTTAGCATCTTTCTTTTTATGACATGGCCCAAGTTAACCATTAGAATTAGATCACTTCTAATGGGGACTTTAGATTTATCAAGTGGTATAAGGAATTTTATATTTATCTCCTCTCCTTTTGGTTCTTAAATGTTTGCTTGGCTAATTTACATGAAAATACCACTCTGTGGTTTGAATTTTTTGAATGGACAAAATCAGTTAATTGTAAAATCTACAGTTTGCACTTTCCAGGAACATAGCCTACGTGGCTTCTTAATTTTAATATCTGACCTTCCAAGCATTTCGTCTAAATTGAAAGCTTTGTTTTATAGTAAATATTGCCAGAAAGCAGCAAATATATTTATTCTTTTGACCAGTATTTTCAAAATGAGCCATTTTTTAGCTCCTTCAGTGGAATGGGCACTCTGGTGGTAAACTTCTCCACAAGAGTTTATTTTGTTGAATGGAGATGCTGCAGGGGACATCTGTGTCATGACAATATGAAGAGCTTGTCCTTGCTTGCTTGGGTAGAAGTCCATGAGGGAACGATGTGAGGGAACCAGAGGCCAAAAGGAAAGGTGGGAAGTGGTTGGGTAGAGTGAAACCTGGAAATTGCAGAAGGTTCATGTGGTGGGACTTTGTGGAGTATTAAGATTTTGTAGTTTAAGGGCTTAAGACCGTATTTCTTTAAGTGAGAATAAAGTCCACTCTTACAGAATGCTTGATAGCTCACCAAATGTTTCTAGATATTATCTTATTTAATCCTCAGGATAATAACTGGTGTAGAATAGGTACTGTCTTCTCTTCCCATGTGAGAGAGAAGAGATCAGGGTAACATGGCCAGTAGGAAGCAGGGCTTGGACTTGACCCCACGTATCTAGACTTGACCCCACGTATCCAGCATTTGCTTTGCTTCATGGTAGCTATTGAAAAACTTTACCAGGGAAGTCCTCCTCCTTAGCCAAAGGAAAAGGTATATATGTGGCTGAGACAGAAGAAGGGGTAATAAGATATATGCTGAGTGGTGAAAGTGGGGACCCTGTGAAGTAGAGAGGATGAGCTAGACAGCCCAGAAGCTAGTTTCCTCAGACCAGAAGTGAAAGGCCAGGTGAGGGCATGGGTAGTTTGGAAGATGGACCAAAATACTCAGTCTCATATTCCCTGTAGACTTGGGTCATGACAGAATAAATCTGCACTGTTATTCCAGGGTCCTGTGGATGAATAATAGACTGTTTCATGGTACCGTATAGTGGTCAAGGTCATAGGCTCCAACTACCTGGTTCATTCCAGGTTCTGCCTTTTACAACTAATGTGACTTAGGGCAAGTGAATCCTCTGTGCCTCAGTTTCTTTGTCTATAAAATGTGGATAACAATAGTACCTAGCTCATAAGGTTATGGTGAAGGTTAAATGAGGTAATATCTGTGAGGCTCTCAGAACAATGACACAGCAAGCACAGAATATCATTTTGTATCCATCCAACTTGTCCCTGGCAGGTAAACATAGCCAGCTGGGGAAGAGGTGGACCTGTACCAGAAATCACTCTTCCTGTCCATAGGCTACAGGTGCCAGAAGGAGGTTGACATGTAGTTACTTTTCTGAGCTCTTGGAGTCATGATAATATCAGTTTGTAAGATTCTTTTGTGTTTTGACCAAGCTTCCATTCTCTGAGTGCTTCTGGGTGAGGTAAGCCCCTGTGACAAAAAGATCTGCTTGTTCATTGAGGAACTACAGTCCAACAGGGATCTCTGAGGAACTAAGGGAACTGAATGTATAACATGGGACTGTTCTTTATTTCTGTTTTGGTTTTAACAGGAAACAGCAAGAGATTGACTCCAAAGATGCTATTATTTTGCATCAGTTTGCAAGACCTAACAATGGTGTTCCCAGTTTATCTCCTTTCTGTTTGAAAATGGAAACTTATTTAAGGATGGCTGACTTGCCCTATCAGGTATTTGTGTGCCAATGTTTTATTCTGACAACAGCAATATCGATTAGAGAGTGGTACCTCATCTCACATGGTGGGAAGGGCTGGTACTTGGTGCTAGAGGGGGTGGGTATGCAAGTAGCAGTGCCCAGTCCTTAGGAGATACTTAAGCCGACTTGACTCCAGGGTCTGTTGATTTTTACATCCAGTTTAATGAAGGATCAGAAGGATCTGGACTTTTGTAGGGTTCAGGGCCATGTTATTTTTTTCCTGACATAGAGTATACTTTGGTTAATTGTTTGGATAGGATTTCTGGGCAGCTGTTAATAAGGTGGGTGTACCATTGTCGGACGTGTATTTTTCATTTAGGTTTCTATTTATTGACAGCTTGCATTTCGTCTCCCATGAGCCCTGCTGGGGCAGAATGCCCAGCAGGCCAGCAGGGAGGTATCTGTTGATTTTGTGGCAGTTTTTCCATAGTGCTTCATGTTTTTGTTTGAGTGGCTTTCAGGGAAACGCTCATTCAGCATCAGAGAGTGAACAGAGGACTGTATTTAAGGGTGTATATTTTTCTCTGAGTAACGCTTGAGCTGTGCGTCACAAATTTGACAGGTTGTGTTTTCATTGTCATTCAATTCTATGTATTTTTTAAAAATTCCCTTGTGTTTTTCTTTTTTATATAAGTTTTAGTCATAAGCATTTCTTTTTTAAAAAAGGCTTGGACTTTTAAATTTTTAAAAAATTTTATGGTCAGAACAGGTAATCTTTGTGATATTAATTCCTTGGAATTTATTGACTTTTTAGCCAAGGCTACTTTTTATAAATGTTGAAAATAATTACGTGTACTCTTGTCTGCAGAGCTCTCCCTATCTACTTGCTCGAGCATGTTTAGTGTATTGTTTTGACATTCTGTATCTCTGCTTATTTTTCTGTCTGCCTGTTCTAGCAGTTTCTGAAAGGAGTGGATTAAAATATTCAAGTGTACTTGTTGATTTACCTCGTTTTCTTGTCATGCTGTCAGTTCTTATTTATATAAGAGTATTCACATAGTCGAGGTTATATTGGTAGGTCTATATAATATGAAAGATCTCCTCTTTTACCATTTTGTTTCTTTTCTAGCATATAGCAGCCGTCTCTGTTCCTTATGATTTTTTTAACCTTGAATTCTATTTTATCAGATATTGAGGTTGATTCTCCAGCTTTCTTTTGGCTCCTGTTTGCTTGAGATATCCTTTTCCATCCTTGTTCTCTATTTTTCGTGTATTTGTTTTTGTAGGCAATGTATTATTTATAGTCAACCTGAGAGTTCTTAATTGGTGAGTTTAATCCATTCATACTTGTAATTATTGTTTTATTAGTACTTATTTCTAGTATGTTTAATATTTTTCTCCTTACTATTACTTTGTTTTTCATTCTTTCTTATTTCCTGCTTTCTAATAGACAGCTAAAATCTTCTTGTCATTTAAAACAAATTCTATTTTTGTTGTTATAGTGGTTGCTCTTAAGATCGAAATTTATGTTTATTTATCCCTACTTATTTCTTAAATGTGGTACATTCTGTATTTGTCCTCTAATGATACAAATATGTTAGCAGGTTCAGGTTCTTTCTTCCCAGCCCTCATCCCAATTGTGTTGCTGTTGTATGTTTTACTTCGGGAATTTTGGAAATGCTACTCTTTTTTTTTTTTTGGTCCTTTTTTAGACAATAAGCTTTATTAAGTTATTTGACTAGCCTAATTTCTCATGTATCCTATCCTACAGGATTTATTTATCTTTCTATCTGAGTACTTCCTTGATGAATATTTTCAGTGAGCCCTTTAGTGGCCAATCTCCAATGGCTTTGCATGCCTGAAACATCTTTATTATGCCCTTATATTTGACAATTCTATGTTCAGTGATTTTCTTTCAGTGATTTAAAAATTATGTTTTCTTTTTAATATAAAAGTTTAAAATTCCATTGTCCCTTTGCATGTGTTGCTATTGAAAAATCGATGTTAATCTGATTCTTTTTCTCAATGGAAGCTTATAGAATTTATTTTTAATCTCAACATTTTTTCTTTCTTTTTTTTTTTTTTAGCTGAGCCATCCTGCCACCTGTTGGCAGCTCAGTGGCAGCTCAGCCCGGGCTGGGACTCAAACCGCTGTTGCTCAAAGCTCAAACTCTTGAGCGAGCTCTTAACCAACTGAGCCACTCAGCCAGCCCAATCTCCATATTCTTAAATTTCACTTTAATTGTGCCTTGGTGTGGGTCTTTATGTATCTTGTTTGGTCCTTTATAAACTCTTTTAATCTGAAGTCTTTAATCTCTTTTTAATTGAAATTATCAATTTTCTTCCAATATTTCCTTTTCTTTTTTATTTGTTTGTTTTCCCTTTCTTCTTTCCAGTTACCTGTTTTCTGGATGCAGAAACCTCTGCTTTTATTTTCTGCATCTCTGAATGTTTTTCTGTTTTGTTTTCTTCTTCCTTCTGGGAGAGTTCATCTCTCTGAGCTCCCCTTGCATTGCTCTATTCTCTTCTTGCATCCGTTGTGATATTTCTCTCATCGATTGTGTTCAACTTTTATATTTTTCTTCTTAATATTTCCCCTTGGTTTGTATTACTAATTTCTTCCTTTATCACTTAGAGGATATTTATTATGCTAATGAAAATTTTTTGGTCTGTCCCAATAATTCTGCTTCATGTTGTATATATCCAGCCTGTTACCTTTCTCTTACAGTGATTGTATTCCTCAGGTGTCACATTATTTTGTTTTGAGATCTCCTTTCACCAGGGATGTCAGCTTCCCTGCCTGGGAATTTGTACTGAGCGAGGGCTAAAGCTCAGGCCACAGGTGGTGTGCCTCTGGGGCGCTGAAGAAAGGGAAGGAGCCCAGGCATCCCCAAACCAGTGTGATCCCTGTGGCTCGCTGCCACTCCTCCAAATGGCTCCCACTGGTCAGGGGTTCATCTTTAAGCTCTTACAAAGTAGCAGCGTTGGGAGGAGGTAGTCTCCTTAGCTGGAGACAGACCAGCAGCGAGGTGAGAGGGGGAAGGTTCCTCACCCAGCCAAGCTTTTGGCTGCCCTGATAAGGATGTTACCCCTCCGATTCCTGACTCCCTATGGCCTTTCTGAGCCAGTTCCTCTACAGAAGACGGGATGGGGTCAGCAGTGTTCCTCTTAAGAAGGTGCTGGGATAAGATCAATGACATGTTTTCAGCTGGGTAAGTGCTATTATGGAGGTCCTCTGAGAATATGGTGGAATGGCACTGAATCTTGGGTGGGGGGGGGGACCTGGGAAGGCATGGGGTCTTGTGACTAGGAGCTAGAATCAAGGTGTGTCTGGAGAGAGAAGCAGGGAGAAGATTATTCAGGACTTCTTAAGCCAGTGATGAAGAAGAAAATAGCAATACAAACAGAAAAGGCTTAGATCATCTAAATGCATTGGACCAGGTTTGAAAAATCGTTGCTCAGCTTGGTGTTGGCGGTGGGCACCTGGAGATGTATGTCAATCACCAAGGGGCACAAATGGAAGGCAGGGGTTGCTAGCCCACAGCTGCCTGTCTCTATTCCATCATCACTCTTGACCAGATTGCATCCTTTATCCATGACAGCTTTGGGGCCGTTAAAGTCCAAAACCTGAGTTTTGTGCTATGCAATCTCTGCCTCTATCTAGATCTTGTGTGCCCCCCCTCCCCCTCGACCCCTGATGAAGTAAGCTTGCTGTTTGCAGGGGCTGCAGCTGCTGCTAGGCGGTTCTGCCCTTTCCTTCCTGCCTCCTGGCCATCAAGCACCAATGGCCTCTGCCCCGCCTTCATCAGCAGCCTAAGGACCTACCTTTGTTCATGTTTTAGAGCAGCTACTTGTAGTTAGTGTAACTGAAGCAGCAGAACACACACCTCACTGAAGCCGGAAGCTATTATAGAGGCCTTTGAGAAGGGGAATGCTTACCCCCTTCCAAAAATTATTATTTCTCGTTAAGTGTATTTTTTAATCAAGGAATGGTATAGGAGTATTTTTTTCTTCTGTGAGGCCTCTATGGAAAATAAATGGAGGGGGTGTTCAGCGCGGGGCAGAGATCTTAGGTGAAAGGAAAGTGGTTCCGAGGTTTAGAAAGGGATGCTCT